ACACAGTTAATATTAAGGCATCTTTGAAAGAAGAATACTTGGAAGAGTGAAAAAGACCAGGAGCATTTCTGTGAGTGGAAAGCCCTTAAGGTGGCCAAGACACAAAGAGTTGAAGTTTTGCCTTATTGCTTGATGAGCACCTGTACCATATGCTTGGTCCTTGACCATATCGTGCTGTTTATTATTTTAACTGGTAGTAGTCATGGTACTTGTACAATGTGGAAGCAACGATTTCCCTGTTACCATCTATTACCACAGGGTTACCAGATAAAACCTTCCATACTTATTTGTTAAACTCAGCAATATTCCCTTCAATATAGGAAGGCAAATTTCTACAGTCAAGGATCTCAAATGTAAAACTCATGTGTGTAGAAAGGATTAATGAAAGATAGTTGAGCAAAGAGGCACGTTGACAGAATTTTTTAAGGTATGAAAAATGATGGTATGCTGGAATGGAAATGGAAGCCAATGCTTCTGGCTGCCTAGATCATTCCTCTACCTCTGGCTTAGAGTAAAGAAGAGAAACTGTATCCTGGGTTTCAGAGATAAGTAATTTAAGGCTGAGTTTCAAGAAGGCAAAAAATAGATTCTGTATGTGTGGCACAAATAACATGTGGAGGAGCTGTGACTCATAGCAGGGCTATGATATGAATGGATTTTACTTGTCCTGTATGACCAATGTAGACAGAGTACACCAGTGATCCAAATGAATGGTAAAGAAAAGATAGACATGTGGTTTTCTCACTCACTAGTCCCTGAAGAACAGGAGAAAGGGAAGCCTTTAGTAGAGAGGCCAGTAAAGAATATATGACATTCATCCTTCATTTAATTTCTATTGGAATATGAGCAAGAAATGGAGGTAGAGCGTTTTCACACACTAACAAGCAGATTCAGATGAGCTTCGTTTACACAGGATAGTGGGTTTTGGTGGAGTGGAATTGATGAGGACGGTTGGGATGAATAAAGCAGTGGGCTGGAAACTGTGCAGTGAAGTTACATTAACAGCAGGAGATGGGGGAGATGAGCAGCCAGGATGTCGAAGCTGGTGGGAGTAATTCACAGAACAGTATGTGAGGAATACCAAGGGGATGCGGAACAGAACAGCAAGTTAGAAAGCATAGTTTAATATTTTCAAAAGACAGTCTGTGGAGCTTTACTGATTACCAGTTGTCTTCTCTGAGCCCAGGGAAGTCACTGTAGATAGAATTGAGGCTTTTTATTGTCACCATTTGGAGAAAGTATATGATCCACAGAGGTAAATAGATAATAAAAATAAGTCAATTTTGTTTTTATCAGAAGGGAGGATGAATCTGTTGATATTTCTAAGTGATCCATAAAGTCATAAAACAATTTTGAAAGGCACTCGAGTTCTAATTTTAAAGCGAGATTGAATCTTGACCTCACACAGGCCTGAATCACCTAATTTCTCTACTAATGCCTGTTGTGAGATTTGTATCAACCTTTAGAAGTGAGGAAATGTCAAGGGGCCACCTTAATTTTCATCCAGGTACCTAGAAACATCTTGCCTATCTAGCAGACCTTTAAAAGACAAAAGCAGGGTAGGTGATGGTGGTATACACCTTTAATCCCACACTCAGAAGGCAGAGGCAGGTGAATCTCTGAGTTTGAGGCCACCCTGGTCCTCAGAGTGAGTTCCAGGACAGCCAGGGCTACACAGAGAAACCCTGTCTTGAAAAACAAAAATAAACAAAAAGAAAGGAAGAAAGAAAGAAAGAAAGAAAGAGAAAAAGAAAGAAAGAAAGAAAGAAAGAAGAAAGGAAAGAAAGAGAGAGAGAGAGAGAGAGAGAGAGAGAGAGAGAGAGAGAGAGAGAGAGGAGGAATGAAAAGAAAAGACATTTTAGTGTGGCAGGCTGAAAAATGTTATCTATAAGAGAGTTGAAATGCCCCAGAAGTTTAGTGAACAATATATACGACACTGAATCAAAATTATTCTAAAGTAAGATTTAAATGGGCAAAATTTGTATGAGGGAATCCTGAAGGCTCTAGAACTGTCTGCAAGGGACTGATTGTAGTACTCTAACTTGTAAGTTGAAATCCTGCTCCCCAATAGCATGGTGAGGTGGATGTTTTGGGAAGTATTGGTTCAAAAGTGCGGTAGGAGGCTTTAAGGAGAATTAGTGCCTTTATACAAGAGACGTAAGGAGCTCCCTCATCCTCCTTCTCCATGAAGATACAAAGAAGAAGGTGATAGTCTGTACTTTGAAAAGAACACTCATCAGGGCTAGCTCCTTACTTTACTCTAGCTCTGAGAACTAAAAGAAGTAACCTTTTGTTATGTAACATGTGGTTATATAACACATGTTATGATACATGGGCCATGTCTCCTTATGCAAGCCAAACTGCCTAAGATATCCTGCCAAGCCTCCAAGGGGTAAAACTTGCTAGCTTTTATGGTTTATTGGATTTCATGCTACGAAATATGGTGGATTGAATTCAGTAAAATGTGTTAATAAAAGCAAAAGTTTTGTGTGTGTATAATGTTTAATGAACACCAGAAATACTACTGACTGACATATAGTCCAGGCATAGTAGTTAAACAATTAAGACATTTCCCTCTCCTTGTTTTATAGATACTGAGGACTTTTAAATAAATGTTGGCTATAGAGAATTTTTAAAAATAGCTCACTGAACAAACTGGGAAATATATTCTGATTATTTTCCTCTTAAAAATATTATTTTGAATTTTATACAACACAAATGTATTGCATTGTAAATAAATATTTAAGAATCCCAGACTTCTTCTTTCACTTGAGGAAGAAAGTTTGCTTGGAGGTGGGGATTATTATTATTATTGACATGATAGATTAACTCAAAGGCAGTCACTGCTCTGAAACAAGTGTGTTCCCTCTCTTTTTGACTCACTACTTTCTTTGAAGAATTCTATGTAGACAGAAAACAACAACAACAAAAAAACGAGTGTAGAAAGAATTCGCTTTCTCCTGATTTGATCAGGTGACAAATAAGAGTCTTTGGTACAGGGAGGGAAGAAGAGGAGAAGTAAAAAAAAGCAGTAAGAGAAAGTCAAGCTGGGGAAATCAGAATCTAGGCTGACTCACAGTGGGGTTCCCAAACAGGTTGCAAGCACGCCATCCACCAAGCAACTTGAAACCTGGGCAGTGACGTCTTGGAAGACACCAGCCTGGTGCCCAGAATACAGAGGCTCTTCCAGTTGGAGACCGGGCACAGAGCATCTGTCATCTCATCACGTATAATTAATTGTGCCTTTAAGTTAGCAGCTGTCTTAGGACATAGTGCTGGTAGGAGGGTCGAGGATGAGGAGACACTGAGAAGAGCATGGATTTTGGGTTTGTTAGTTTTAGCATGGCTACAGCATCCACTCCTTCTCCAAAATGGTTTATATCCATAGCATAGCTGATTTTTTGACCTCTTTATAATTGTATTTGCAAAACCTAGGAAGGGGTGGTTTTGTTCGTTGTTAAACAATCATTTTCTTCTAATCCCTCTTTTCTTTTTTTCGGAAGCTGATATTCATATAATTTGAAGGAAAATATATTTGACTTAACGATATTCTTATTTAACAATTCTACCAGTTCCTTCGGGTAATGAGTTTTGTTTTGTTTTTATTTGTTTTCCTTACATCACCCTTCCATGTGCTTGAAAGCCAAGATGGAAGAGCATGAACTGGTTGGTTCTCGGCTGTGTGGCAGATGAATCTAGATTTCAAGGTGGGCATGGGATGCGTTTACAACCCCTCATGATAGCTAGTTGATTCTAATACTTTCTGGTCACCATTTGTCCCCACCCCCACATATACAAAGACTTTCTAATAATATATGATAAGATGCAAATTGCTAAATTAGTATTTGGTAAATTGAGTGTCATACTTGGATATACCTTCTTTCATTTATTCTTCACTTGGTCTTACTATAAAGCTGAGAAGTGATACCTTATTTTATTTATTCTTTAGAATATTGAGTGGAGCTTGGGTGTTGTAGTAGTGTGTTTAAGGAACAATAAACAATGAACTGCTTAGCATGTTTCCAGAGGATAAAAAAGACAGGATTAGAACACACTCAAGCCTTTCTAGGTGGCGGATCTCAATAGGGTGATTTCTACTCAGTAGCAGCTAAGATGGCCCTCAATGATCCCTCCTTTCTGGGATCTCCTTTAAGTAAGCCTGCTTTTTTGAGTTCCTGGAGAATTTAAGGCCTATGAGATGAGAATTGGTTTTAACCGTAAGTTTTAGGAACGACACTATGCAGTAATCAAAAACTAATACAACTCTAGGCACATCTCATTTATATAACAACATAATGAGTAGCTATCATTAAATTGACATTTTGCTCTGTGGCATTAACTCAAATCTCAGTATTCTGCCACTTCTCAAGGCTACATTTTCTGAGAGCGTCTTCCCTGTCGTTGGCAACCCTTAAGAGAACAGCTCTCTGTACCCCATCTGCCTGCTTTTTTTTTTTTTTTTTTGGAACCAACACCATTTTTTTTTTCTCCTCAAATCTCTGTCACCCTAGTGTTCAGGATTTCAGGGGAAAAAAACTAAAAACTTTCTATCACTTGAACTGTGAGATAAACGAACTCATCTCTGTGATGACGCTAGATTGAGATGTTCCCTGGAGGCATCCTTGTACTTCAGGCGTTTTCCCACAACAAAGGTGTCCTACTTGCTCTGATAATCGTTTCCTTGCTTCGTCAAGTTTTGTTGTTGTTGTTGGATTTGTTTTGTTTTAGTTTTGCTGTTATTCATCACGGAAAGTACCCAGGAAAGTAGAAAGGGACTATGGGTAGAGAGATGAAAAGGAGCTCTAGTGGGCGGATAGTGGGACATAGGGACTATGAAGTGGGCAACAGAAGAAGTGGAGGGTAGCATCTCAGCTAGACAGAGAGGAAGGAGGGTAATACCGAGAAAAGGAAGAAAAGAGATATAAATAACGCTAAGGATATATTTTAAGTCATAATGAAAAATACTATTCTAGAAGTGCTCTTAAAAACATGCACAGGTCTTTGCCCTCAGAGGCATTGTAGGTGTCACTGCTGTGTCACATGGGTGTCAGTAGGTGGCAGAGAGAAGAGCAGCTGAGTCTACACTCCGTGTTCTGACCTATGAACATCTAAATGATTAACAACCTAACCTTCCCTGACATTCATTTTTATTTTTTAAAACTGAGCATATTGCTCCTCACTTTCCCCCACCGGTTATTTCTACTAGTGTCCTATGGCTGGCATCCCATGCTCCGCAAGCTACTTGATGAGACTTTTCTGAAATCCTCTGACATCGTGACCAAATCTAATGGTGGCCTGCAGCATATCTAGAGAAAACAACCCTTGAGCTCGTTCTGAGGCTAAACACCGATGGCTTATATGAGTGAGCGTGGGTGTGTACAGTGAAGATTCTGGCATATGAAAGCTGAACGTTGCCTGCTAAAAGTGATCCAGAGGACTAAGATAACTCAACCATTAGTTCTGAATTGCAACAAAATGTGAAAGCGGGAAGAAGAAATATTGCACAATTTCCAACTGAATAGTAACCTCCGACAAAATAAAAGGCATGTCGATGTAGAACAGATACTTGGCTCGTGCTTTTTGATCTGTGTTAGTAATGTGGAAATCATGGTGGGAAGGTGGACAGGGCTGTCAGAGTGGGTCATGGCTGTGATATACTACTCTATCTCCTTTACCTGCAGAAAAACAAGCACAGACACCCCCAAACACACACACACACACACACACACACACACACACACACACACACACA